GCAGCCCCCGGCCGCTCCCCCTTGCCTGCCCCGCCGCTGCGGCGAAGCCAGGAAACGCGTCCAGGAAAAAGGAAATCCGATTTCCGACCCAGCCGGGGAAGCTTTTAAATAGGAATAGACGATCCAGTGGGCTGGGGTAGGGAGGAGAAAGGGAGTGAGGGAGACAGGTGTGGGGCAGGGGGAGAAGAAGAGGAGGCGGGTGGGTGGCAGGATGGGTGACAGGAGCGGCGGGTGGAAGCAAGGATGTCTGTCGGCATTTGGGGAGTGCACTGCTGTGGAAAGGAGAGATAAATGGATAGCAGGAAGGAAATGGGTGAATGGATGGAAGGACAGAAGAGATGATGGTGAGTGGGTAGGTGGAGGAAAGAAAGTGCGAGAGATCGATGGATGGAAGGGCAGGTAATGGATAAGATGATGGGAAAACAGGCTGATGGAAGGGACGTTGGGTGGATGGAGGGGTTGGCTGGTACCAGGAATAGAAAGGGGGATGCAGGGACAAGTGGGTGGGGTGGAAGAATGGATGGAAGCTCTGGGGAAGGGTGGGTGGGTGGGTGGAAAGATGGGTTGGAAGAAAAGAAGGGTGGATGCAGAGATGGAAGGACAGGGCTACGGTGGGTGGATGAAGGATGGGAAGATGAGTGTGCAGGTGTGGAAAGCTGTGAGGGCAGCTGAAAGGAAGAAGGAAGGGATGTTTGTGGTGCTGGAAGGCAGGAAGAGAAAATGGACAGAGGGAGAGGGGATAACAGGGTAGGCGCTGGAAGGAGATGGGGCAGAGGAGAGCCCCAGGGCCTCAGCGGGACAGGGTGGGCAGGGCTGGGCGCTGTGCGGTGCACGGCGCTGCGGTGGGGCAGCGGCCGAGGGATCCGCCCGTACCTGGCAGGTACATGTTGAGCAGCAGTGGCACCGCTCCGGTGCCGTGTCTCATGGCAGCTGTGGGGGCGGCCCGCGGGCTGCATGTTTTAATATTCCTGCCCCTATTATTATTATTATTATTCCACTTTATCAGGGAGCAGCTGATGGCGAATAAATGGCAGCGGGACGGGCAGGGGACGGGCAGGGGCCGGGGGAGGCGGGGGAAGGGGGAGTTTCCAGGCAACTCGCAGGGGCTGGGGCCCCGGCTCCAGCAATTTCCTCCGCTGTAATTAAAGCGGGCGCTGCCCCCCCCTCCCTCCCCCCGCTATCGGGCCCGCATCAGACTTTAATCACGGCCGCGGGTTTCTATGGAGAGCGGTTCGGGCCGCTTCCTGCCTCTTCCGCCTCCTTAACTCTTCGCAAACACGGCGCTGACATCCCAGCTGGGAGCGGGCCCGGCCACTGCCTGCCTGGAGACTGCCCGGGCCCGGCCTCCCACCCGCATCTCGCCTCCCGAGCCGCCCACGGGCCCCGGAGCCGCTCCCCGGCACGGCGCGGGCAGCAGCCCCCGCGGCGCCCCGGCCTCGGGCTCTCGCAGCGCTGCTGGCCCCGGGGGTCCGCCCCTGCCCCCGCCCCAGCTCCAGCATCACCAGCGCAGTCCTGGGGGCTCCGTGCAGTTCACAGAGCCCTGGCGTGGGCCAGGTGAGTCCCCACCAGGGCCCTCCACCTCCAGGACAGTGGTCACGGGGCTCCTTTGCAGTGCCCAGAGTTTTGGGGTGGTACGGGGATCTCCAGCAGCTGGTGGCACCAGGTCATCCCACAGCTCTGCCACCTCCCTGGCTCCTCTGTGCTCTCCTGAATAGTCCCTGCCGCAGGGACAGTCAAGCCTGTGACCATCCCACAGCACCCAGCCCTGTCCCAACCTGCTGCACATCTTTATTAAGATCCAGAGAAGCTGGGTAAACCCCAACACCCACACAAACCAGGATGGCCCCATCTTCATCTGCTCGTCCTGGCAGCGCTGGGTACATTCTGAAGATAGGAGGACATTTCATGGAGAAATTTATGATGGAGAAATGTGATACCAGCTCCAAAAAGACACATCCGGCCAGGTTTTTCCCTGTCACCCATGGCCTCAGCTGTTTTATGCGCTTGTGGGGTGCTCTTGGAGTCTCTGTCCCCCAGGTCAGGAGTGGACCCTCCACAGGATCCCACAGCTTGAGGCAGCCAGGCAGTGTGCCAGCAGCTGTAACCAGTTCTCCTCCTTGAGTCCAACCCTGTACAGCCAAGCTCACAACTTCTTCTGTAGTGTTTCATTGATGTCTGGCAAAAGGATGAGCCCTCATGCTGGATTTAGCTGCCTTTCTGGAAAGTGAACATTACAAGGTATGAACCTAATGGAAATCAGGGTACAGCCATGCCAGACTCACAGTTTTTATTTATACTGCAGCCAAAATGTGCCTGCCCTGCATGAGAAGCTGCAACCCAAGGGGAGTGATGCTCAGTTGGGGTGGCACAGCCCAACAGAGCTGGTGTCTCCTCTTGGCAGGGGGTGTCCCAAGGGTTCAGGAAATAGGGGGTCCCTTAGTTACTGAGCTCCACCTCTGCTCCAGGTGCTCCACCTCTGCTGCCCATCTCCATCATGGACAAAGAGCAGATGCTGGCAAGGGGAGCCATGGGCAGAGACCATCGTATTCCCCCAGCAATTCCCCAGCAATCCTGTTTGGAGGTAACAGCCCTTAAAAAGCTTCTCTTCCCCCAACTTGTCTCCTGAGCTCCCCTGAACCTCTCATTGGGGTGTCCAGCTCTCTGTACAGCCCAGAAGCCCTGGCTGCTCCCTTCATCCCTCTCCTCCCCAGCCCCCCAAAATGCAGCTCTCCCAGCAGTGGCTCCGCAGCCTCCCAGACTTGCTTTCGCTGCCTGAGTCACTGAAACAAACCGCAGGCAACAGAAAACAAGCCCCGGAGACAGCGGGGTGAGGCGGGGGGCGTGCCAGACCCACCAACCCGTCCTCTTCTGGCAGCCCGGGGACCATGATACTCCTCCAGCAAACCTGCATGGTGGAGGGTGTGGAGGGGGGGTAGAGGGACATTGCATCAGCCCAGAGTGGGGAGGGGGCAGGGGTGCAGTAGGGGTCAGGCTCAGAAATTGGTTTAGGGCTGCAGGAGCTGGAGGAGGGGGTGCTTTGGAGGGCACTGTTCCCAGTGGACACCTGGGTCCCTGGGAAAGCCAGCGGGTGGGGGGCTTAAAGTGGGATGTGAGGGGACTGGGATCTTTGAGTAGTCTGGGGTCAGAGGTGTGTTGAAGGACAGGGAGTGTCAGATCCTAAGAGCTGGCAAGCCCGGTGTCCATGTGGAGCTTTGGGGACCAGAGTGATGTGACCCCAGAATCATGGGGGAGCTGGGGCGGACGAGAGGATGAGGAAGGCAGGGTATACGAGAAAGCCAGGAAACAGGGGCCCATGTCCATGGGGGAACAAGGGACTGGGCCGTGGGTCTGAGTGGGATCTAGGAGATGAGATTTCAGGTCTGTGGGTCTTCTGGGGATGGAGCCCAGACATGTGGAACACCCAGCTGGAAGCAGCTGCAGGTCCCTCCGGCTGCCACCCCCCACTCCAGTGCTCTCCTCCCACCCCAGGTGGAGCAATAAGGACCCCAGACTTTGCAATGACCCCCACAGCCCACCCCTGCCCCGCATCACAGCCCTATGTGCAGGTGCCCGGGAAAGCTTCACCTGTGAGCCGGCGTTGTGGAGCGGAGCCGAGCTGACGTGGCCCTGGGCTGGCTGCACCTGGCCAGGTGTGCCGGAATGTGTTTGTGCTGGGGGAGAGGCCGTGCGGCCGGCGTGGGGTGGGGCCAGCGGGGACACGGAGGAGACGGGGGCGGGCTGGGGGGCACTCTGCAGCCGGAATGCCATGTGGGATGGTGCTGCTGGGTCTTCTGCACAGCAGCACTGGGGCTGGAGGGGAGAGGGGGCATGCAGGGAAACACGTGTGTGCTCAGCCGTGTGCAGCTCTCTCACACACACACAAACACACTCATGCACATGCTGACACACACACCAGGGCTGGGGTCTCTGCACGCTGCTGGGTGAGGGGTGTGCACAGGCTGACCCCCAACCCAGTTTCCCAGCAGCCTTCTGGGACACTCCCTTTCTTTGGGCAAAGCATGTTTTTAGCAGGGTGGGCATCAGGGAACCCCAGCATCTGAGGCACTCAGAACTGTTCCACCACGCATCCATGTCCTGGGTGTGGGGAGCGTCTCGGGACCAAAAGCCTGTGCCCGAGGAGGGCTTTGGTGTGCCAGAGCAGGACAGATGACAAGGAGGCGAGAGGAGGAGGAAGCAATGTGCTGGGTGCAGGGAGCACCTCGGGATGGGTAGCCTGCACCCCAGGAGGGTTCAGAGCCAGATGGAAGAGGAAGAGGCTGGGAAAGGGTGCTGGAGGAGGAGGAGGAGGAGGAGGCTGGGTGGGGCTCCCGGTGTCCCGGAGCCGGATACTGGCACGGATATGCTGGCGTGGCAAGGCTGGGGGAGGACACACACACACCTGTGAGCATCAAGCCAGGCCCCCTACCACCTGTGGAACACTGCCCTCCTTCCCCTGACCCCTGCACAACCACCTCCCCCCAGCCCCTCTGTGCCAGTGCCCCCAGACCTGACACAACTGTGGCTGCCCCGTGTGCTGTCAGAGTCCCATCCTGCCCCAGATGACCCCTATGCTCTTCCTCCTTCCCATGCCTGCAGCAGGCAGAGACCCCCTTCTCTCTTCCAGAGGCGTGCAGAGGAATGGGACCTTGAGTTTTCACAGACTTTATAGCAACTAATTTCCCTGGCATTGATCCTGGGAGGAGAATCCAAGGTAGAACCCTGCTGGATGCCTCTTCCCAGGGCACAGCCCTCTTGGTGTCCTCTCCCACCTCCAGCACTCTCTTTGCCCAGTAAGTTCCACTTTTCCCAGTCAGAGCATCACAGCAGTGGAACTGTGCATGGACGAGAGGTGGGATGCAGAGAGCTCAGCCCAGGCTGGAGCTGGCCATGAGCCCAAAACTGCCTGGGGAAGGGGAAACCATCCAGGTTGCCACCATGGCCTTCCCAGCATGGCAGCCCCTGAGGAGCAGAGCAGAGGCAGGAGAACTCTTTTTTTTTTTGACAAATGCCTTTATTTGCTACCGGATAGAGGTCTATTGCACAGCAGCCTGGAGGCTGCAGGGCACACAGCCCTGCTCCTGTTCAGTGCTGGACGCGGCGGATGGATTGGATCTGGTTGGTGTGGGCCTGGCTGCTGTATTCATTGTACTTCTTGAACTCGCCGTTCTGTCTGTCCCGCTCCAGCACGTACTGGTAGCCCCTGTATCCTGGGTACTGGTATGCCACCCACCTGCAGGCAGACCCTTGGCTCAGAGCCCCAAGCCAAATCATCCCATCCCATCCCATCCCATCCCTCTGCTTGCCTTGGGAGGAGAGGGACAGAAAAATACCCAATGGCTTGTATTTTCAAGGAAAAGGTAGCAGGAATGCATCCCTTTTATGAAGGGGTCCCCCTTCCAAATCCTGGGGTTTATGGAGGTGTTTTATACAAGGAGGTGCTTTATGCAAGGAGGTGCTTCTGAACCCCTGCTCTTGGCACCCCCAGTCCCTGCCCCACTGGCTGCACTCACGCTCCGGCGTTCACTTTGATGGATGCCACCTCCTTGTTGCCCCAGCCCATGGCCTGCAGCGAGGGATAGTCGTCACTCAGCTCAAACTTGTGACCCTGGAAGTTCTCAGCCTCGTAGAGGATGACTTTGCTGTCATTGTGGTTCTGCAGAGAGACAGAGCTGGAGGTCAGCAGGAACGGGCTGGCTTGCCCAGGGACATGGGATGTGGCATCAGTGTGACACACACCAAGGCACTTTGAGAGGTCAGGGATCGTGAGCAGCTTTTGTGCAGTACATGGGGATGTCCTTCAACCTGGCACCCCCTCACTGGGACACCCCAGAACTGCCCCGAGGATGCTGCTCTCATGTCCCTGTGGTCCCAATACACAGCTGCCAGTGAGAGTTAGTGGCTACAACTTCTGGACCCACACGGACTGTTGCCCTCAGCATCACCACACTCCCCAAGGTTGCAGGAGGGTTCAGGGCAAGGCAGGATGCTGAGAGAGGTCCCCTCAGCTCTGTGGGGCCTTTCTGGGTGCTGGACACGGTGGGGTTAATGGCTGGGACACTGAGTGATGCAGCACTGTCCCCCGTGCCCAGCCCCCACATGCATCTATCTGCACCGAGGAGCAGTCCTGCCAGCAAGGAGTGATCTTATCGCATCCCCTTTATTAAAGCCTGAACATATCTGCCTGGTGATTATTAAAAGTTGGGGGGGGACCCCCCGCTCGGAGGCGCAGACGTGCCGCTGCTGCGAGCAGCAGTGTCTCTGCAGATGGAGCGATAGAGCCGCGGCTGCCCGGCACGCCTCAGGTACCCTGGCTGGGAGGGGGACGGGCCCTGCGCTCCGAGCGTCCCTGCGGTCCCGCCAGCTCCTCTCTGTTCATCCCATCCCCGGGAATCAGGGCTGGGGGACAAGGCCTTGGAACCCCAGCCTGGGAGGTGGGTCTCCAAAGCACAAAGCAGAAGGAGCTGGAATTGTAGTTCAGGCTAAATTTTAGACATAAAAAGCATCCCGGGATCTTTGCAGGGAGGTGGGAGCTGGTGGGTGCAGCTACTCCTCCACTTCACACGTACCCCTGTGAACAGCTCACCCCTCCATCCCATGCCCATGTAAGTCATCCTCCAGTCTGTCCCTCATGGCCTCCATGCTGGGCTACCTGGAGGAGGCTCTGCCTGCCCCGAGCCCTCCCTCTGCGGTGTCCCAGTAACTCACTGCGCATTTGACAGGCCGGAAGGAGAGCAGGTGCTCGGTCCGGTAGCCACTGTTCCCGCTCCAGGCCTCCCACCGGGGATAGTCACCCTTCTCCAGGATAAACTGCTGTCCCTGGTACTCAGGGTACTCGAAGCCTACCCAGCTGGAAGGAAAAGGAGGAAAACCCTCAGGGATGTGTGACACAGTCCCCAGGATCAGTCAGGGGTCACCTTCTCCTTCCTGGGCAGGGGACAGAGACATCCTGGCAGGCTATGGGTCTGTCACAGATGTTGGGGTCCTTGCTAGCAGCAAATGTCCCTTTTGAAAGAGGGACCTCATTCCCCACAGGCACATCATTGCCTCCAACCTATGCATGGCCTTGGTAAGGTCTCCCTGATTAGCAGATGGGAAAACACAAGGAGCACAAGCATGATGAGGCTGTGTCATAGCTGAGGAAGAACTTTGGTGTTCTGGCTCCCTAGCAGCTCCCAACAGTCCCCTGGGAGCAGTGGGTTTGCTGGAGCAGGGTGTGCCGCGGGGCCGGCGGGGCACTTACGGGCCAGACTCCACCTTGATGGAGCGGATCTTGCGGAAGCCGCGCTCCATGATGCTGGGGCACTCCATGAGGAATTCGCAGCGCTTGCCCTGGAAGTTCTCCTCCTCCCACACCGTGATCTTGTACTGCCCCAGGGTGTCCATGGCTTCACTGCTGGTCATGCGGGTCGCTCGGCTGCTGGCAGAGCCCCACGGATCACCCAGGGCAGGTGCCCACCGTCAGCCCCAGCCACCCCACTGCCTGCTGCTGAGCCTGGGATGACGCTGGTGCTGCCCTCACACATCCCATGCCACTGGCCCCCTGCCCTCCCAGGCTGGCATGAGGACATTTCCCATTCCCTTTCCTTCGGTGCTGGGGGATCTCTGTCCAGTGAACCCCAAGCTGCAGGGGGAATTTGCAGTGCCCCATCTCTCCATGTGATGTACCCAGGACTGCCTCAGTTTTTCTTCTCCCAAGCTCCCTGCCATGGCTCCGGGAGCTGTCTGGCTGCGGTGGCACTGGTACCCACTGCTGGGAGGCGGCGGTGACCCGCAGCTCAGATGCGGGTGCAAGTGTAGCCCTGGGGCAGAGCAGCCCGGCTCCTCCATCCCTCCTGCCCGCACAGGGCACCCCGCTGTGCCACACAGCGCCCCTCCACTTGCCCTTCCCAGGGGTGAGTGCTGGGTGGGGGGCTTGCTGTGGGGTGAAGGGAGCGGGGCAGCGCCTGTGCACTGACCGGGGTTTGGGGCTCACAGCCCGGTACTTACTTGGTCGGAGGGCAGGGCACAGAGGCGGAGGTGGCGGTGCCGGCGCCGCTTTTCCTCTCGCCCTTTATAGGCGGGCGCTGAAGTGCCGATGGTGCAGGCGGCCAGGGCGCTGTGTCAGCAGGCAGGGATGGGGGGGCCCGCGCTGCTCCCCCGGCCCAGACTCCGGCTGTCCATTCCACTTAGGCAGTGTGGCGAGAGCGGCCCCCCCGCGCCCGCCGGGGCTGACAATGAAAGTGCTGGGCTGTGTTTGCGCAGGGGCTCAGGGCACAATGGGCAAAGGGCCTGACGCGCCGCTTTCCTTTCTGCCCCCGGACAATGTCCCCGCTTGGCCCAGGGATTAGGGACCCAGCCTTTCCCAGGGCATCCGCGGCCTTTGCCAGGGTTGAGGCTTGTGGGAAGGAGGTGCCAGGGTGAAGTGGGGATTTGCCATCTGGGAGCTGAGGGGCACTGATGTCCTCACGCTGGAATTCAGGGCTTATCTGGGGCTGCTTCTGCCCCTCCACGTGGGACTCTGCCATCCTTTTCCAGCCGGGCCCTGCAGGGATTCCTGTGCTGGCAGCAGACTGGGTCTTAATGGACCCCAGTTAAAAGCTTGAAATGTCCTGAGCATTTCCCCTGGCTTGACAAAGATCTCCCTGTGCTCCCACTCACCTTCCACTTGGGCCAGGGACACTGTGCACAGCAGGAGGGGACCAGCTTTGGGACAGAGCTGTGTCCTTCACCTGGAGAGGAGGACCAGCCCTGCCTGGAACTGCACCATGCCACGCAGCCATCCCCAGTGTCTCCTACCAGGACCTGGGACGGACGAGGCCAACACAGGCTGGAAAGGAGGAAGAGTGCCCTGTGAGCTGTGCAATCCTGGGTGTCTAGGCAGCTGTGTTCCTTGCAGCATTCCTGTGTAGTCTGTGGTGAGGCTGGGCACTCACCACCTTCAGCTGGGCAGGTGACACGCTGGTCACTGGGCAAGGGTCAGACCACTGCACCTAAAACCTTCCCAGGAAAACTCCAGCCCTTCTGGGGGTCCTGGGCATGGGGTCAACACACAAGAGACCCGGACATTGTTGGTTATGGAGAATGCAGTGTGAGCAGCTGGGGGTGGTGTTAGTACGCCTGGCATCAACACAAATAGGGGACCGAGGGGTGACAGCAAGGACGGGCTGGGGGCAGGACTCTGGGGTTCCTTTTGTCACCTCCCCACTGCTCGACGGCCCCGAGGCTCGGTGCGGATCCGCGCCGATGCCTGCGGATCCCAGCAGAGGGTGCAGCCTGGCAGCGGTTGGAGCAGGCTCCAGCTCAGGGACATTAGTGGCCCTTGGCAGGGGACGGGCGCTGGGGAGGCGACCCTCAGCTTGCGTTGCCTGAAGTGCTCCTAGCCGGGAGGGAGAGACCCTCTTGGAGCTGTCTGGGGAAGCAGAAGGTGGAAGGAAGGATAGGGATGCTCCCTGGAGAAGGAAAAGAAGCCCAGTGCAGCCTGGTGGCCTCGAGGCATCTCTCAGAATGCTGGGAGAAAAGTCTGGGCAGGATTTAGGGAAGCCATCACCTTGGCAAAGGCAAGGCAAGATGCAGAGCTAGTGCACTGCAGGGTCTCCCCACGGTGCTGCCATGCCCTGCCTGGGCTGTGAGAACAGAGGTGTGGGGCACTGGTTAGTTTGGGGTGCTTGAGCTGGGGACTCTGAGGTGCAGGGCACTGTGGGTGTATTACAGAGCCCCAGTACGTGAGGCACCACAGAACACATAGGATGCTGCAAGCTGTTATAGGCTGTGCATGTGTGGGGCACTGTATGGTGTGCCACAGCATCCATGGGGCACTGGGGGTGTGCCATGAGGGGCAAGCAAGCCACTCAGCCATCCCCATGCAACATTTTGGATAAAAGCCCTGGAAGGTGAATGGTGCAGAGGAGAAACCCAGATGCAGACAGTGCCACTCCCTTGTTCCTCAGCACTCTCTGGGCTGTGCTTCACCTCCCTCTTGGTACATTCAGGGCAGCCACACGGGAGCCACAGCCACAGTGGATCAGTGGGGTCACTCACAAGGAGCCTTCCCTGGCTGCATCCCAGAATGCTGATGCAGCCTGTCCTCCCTGGGCCATCTCCAGGTAGTTACTGTCACCAGCCAGCATTCCCCTGGCTGGGTCACCTGCAGGCCCCAGCCACAGCTGCCCAGCTGGGGACAGGGGCAGAGGGAGGCTGGTGCGGGGGCAGGCAGTGACTCTGCTCAAGGGCAGCTGCTCATGCGGGCTGTGGGAGCTGGTTAGCACTCGCCCAGGGCCTCCTGCATAGGCTAATTTAATAAGGGCCCCTCGTAGCTCCCAGCTCAGCTTGTTCCCTGCACTAGCAAAACAGATCATGTTTCCCAGTGCCACTGGGCACAGCGCGGCAGCCGGCAGCCCGGGGGCACGGTGGGAGCACAAGGTCACCCAAGTGCTCCACGCCGAGCCCAGACCATGCCAGCCATGGGCTGTACCCCGTGCCTTGTGCAGGCACTGGTCCCAGGACAGGGCACAGCTGGGGGAGCCTGCAGGCTGAAGGGCAGCCACAAGAGAGGCGAGGCAGGCGCTGCCCAGGAATCCCGAGGCTGATGCCATATCTGTGGAAATACTGTACCCATTGATGGAACATCTGGGCTGGCTGACCAAGGCAGCACAGCTGTGTGTGGTCCGCCTAGCTGACACCAGGGCTGAGCCCTGGTCACACCCTGCCAGGACCTCTAGCTGCTCTCTCCTTCTCCCCAGCCCTACTGGGGGCTGGACCAGCACTCCAGGGGGCTGGAGGTCTGGGGGCTGGGCCCAGCAGGAGCAGATGGAGCTGGAGCCGGCCCCTGTTTGTCTTTCTTCCAGTTGCCTGGTGCTCTGTTTGTTCTAGGGATGGCTTCCTGCTGTCAGGGCCAAAACAGGTGGCTTTTATTTGCAGGGTCCGGCTGATTAGATCAGGGGTGGTGTGTCATTGCCCCCACACAGCCCCACTGCTCCCTTTTGCCTCCGCTTTCTCCTCCAGCCTCATTTCTGTGGGAAATCATCCTCCTTGACAAGGATGCAAACACCCTCCTTCTCTCTCCAGTCACCTGTGCTTTGGGGCTGATCTGAACATGGCCACACCAGGACTGGTTAATCCCAGCCAAAACCCCTACTTCCACCTTCTGAATCTTGGATCCCAGAGCCAGAAGGGTTGCTGGGATCCCCAGTGCCACTTGTCCCCTCCAGAAGCTTTGAGCCGTACGTGTACAGCACACATCTGCCACAGAATCCTCCGCACGCAGGCGCTGCCTCGCACAGGGAGCCCTGGCACTTGCCAGCTGCCCCACAGGCACGTGTCCCCTGTGCACGCAGCCACCCCATCCATCCCTGCAGCCAGGAGCTCCTGGGATGGCAGGAGCCCGGCAGATGTTGCTGGGATTAGCTCCCACGCAGGTGCACACGCACAGCGTGGGCTGCCAGCTGTTCCATGCCCCTGGCACTGTGGCCACCCCGGCACGCTGCTCACCCCCTCCTCGTGGGACCGTGGCTGCCCACTCTGCCCTGTGGCACCCACAGCTCTGGGGGTGCACCTGCACAACCCTCCCAGACAAGGATAGTCCCAGGGACACACGTTCACCCTGTGCCACCCATTCACCACCTGAGTCTGGCTGTCCCCAGCATGGGGGTGTGCTCAGTCCCCACGAACTGCCAGGGAAGCTGTGGCCTCACCTGCCTGCTCCCCACTGTTCCCATGGGGACTAATCCCACCTGAAGGTCAGGGAGGCTCTGCCAGCTGCTTACCTCCTGCCTGTGGATTACAGCCTGGGTGTGAGCAGGTGGAAAAGGCTGCCTCCCCAGCTTAGCCCACCCCTAGGAGGGAACTGATAGCAGCACAAAACCAAGACAGACTGCTCCAAAAGGGAAGCCAGGGTGGCATGTCCCTTTCAGCCTGAGGTGTCCCGTCTGTCACACCTTACCCTGTCGGGATGCCAGGCACTGGGGCAGAGGAGCTGGGGTCTGGTCCTCTGGTCCAGGTCCTGACCTGCAAGGGAGCCTGCTGGTGCCAGCCACTGTGACCTCCTGCTTGTTAGCACAGGTGACCTCAGCCTGGCACCTCCAGGGCACCCCATATCTTCAGTGTCCTGGAGGAGCTTGCTGGTCCTCAGAGTCCCCAGTGCAGACCAGTCCCAGGGCTGCGGCGATGGAGACAGGGGAGCACATCCCGACCTGCACCCAGCCTGGCCTGGATGCAGCTGCTGATGCATCTCCTTCAGTACATTGTGTCATTTTGGAGGGATACCACGGGGTGAGCACAGCTTCCCAGATGCCAGCTTTACCTGTAGCAACTAGGGTGTTGTCCTGGAGGTGCAGAGTGCAAGATTAAGGCTGGCAGCCCCTGGCAGCCTCAGAGCCAGGGGATACCAGCTCAGCTGCACCTGGCCAAGGTCCCACTCCACCCTAGTGCTCCTCCACTGCCCTGTTGGCCTCATCTGTAGTGGCAGACACACCAAGCTGAGTGATGCTCATGCAGGAGGCAGATGAAAAGGTTGGCAGTGGCGGGTCCCCTCCTCCAGCAGCTCTGAGGATCAGCACAGGCGGGGGCTGAGCCAGGCGCTGCCACAGGAACAGAACATCCTGCCCCAGGGCTCCTGAAGCCAGCAATAGCTGGGCCAGAAGCAGCAGCCCTGGCAGCCTGCTCAGTGTCCATCCCCTGGGCAGGCTGCCCACGCACTTCCCAGAGCCACTGGCTGGGAAGAGAGGAGCCCCATCACTCACCCCTTCCCTGCAGGCCCCGTGGGAGGATGGGGCTGATGTGTTCCAAGATGCAGGACTAGTATAAGCTCTGGGTTTTTCACCCCAGCATCTTGACTCCTTCATCAGGGCTCTCCCTTATCCCTTTCTCTTATGGGGGCTCAAAGACATTTTTTGGGGACATTTGTAAAACATGTCCCCTCACCCCAGTGGTCTGTGGGTGCAGGGGGGAGGATGCCAGGCTGTACTTATGCTATCTCTGATACTCCCCATGGCCAGGAATGGGTTGGAGTGTGCAGAATTCCTGTAGTTTCACCACAGCAGAA